CGCGGGGCGGCTCCCGGCCTCCTGCAGACCCGGCGGGCATCGGGCGAATCTGTCCGTGCGCCCGCCTCGGCCGCGTCCTCCCGTCCCGCCGCAGACGGCCTCGCCGGCCGGGCACGCTTTTCGTCCCCCTCGTCGGGACGGAGAAGCACTCCCAGTTCCCTTGTGCTTTAATTCTGACTCTTTGTCGTGTTTGCTCTGCTGTTCTGCCCCGCATTTTGCTCTTTTAGAGTTGCTGGAAGGTGCCCTGAATGTTTGTGGGGCGGAAAGGCAGGGTATAAATTTAATAACTCACGGATGAAGTTCCTGGCGAGATCCACTTCCCAGTCAGGGAAGATGTGCGGCAGGGAAGCTGAAGTAACGCTGCCGGGACGGAGCCGTTCTGGAAGTAACCGCGTTCCGACAAACTCTGACTGACGTGGAGCGTGGAACAGAATAACCGTCTTGACATTTTCCATCTTGTTTCTTCCTCTAAGCAGCCATGCCAACTTCTTCGGAACTGAAGAGTTGGCAGGGGAGAATTAAATACATACAAGCCCTTTCTTTTGTAAATATAACTCTTCATTTCTACTGTACAGGCATGTAATTTGGCTGTTTGTGAATCTCAGAAGTGTAAACACAGGCATTATTAATGCTGCATTATCAAATGTAAACAGAGGTGGACCTCCATGGGAAAACAGGCATAAGGAAAAGATGGATATTGTAATGAATAAAATCTTCATTTTTCTGGCTTAGATGTAAATAACAATTGGGCAGTTCACATGTTTAAGAAAAAAAAAGCTTGTGAAACAGTGTTCCTGTGCATAAGGGAGAGCAGTCATTTGGGCACCCAGTTAAACTTGGTGATAAACATGTTGTTCTACACAAGTTGCAGCCATAAAGGAATGAATCTGGTTGAACTTGGTGGACCTTCTGAGTAGCAACAGCAACAAACTTGATAACATTAAAAAACATTCACTGCTTTCAACTCTTTTAATCTTTCCTGCTCTCTAAGTGAAAAGCTGGTGTGGCTTGGCTGTGTATTTCTCCAACCAGAATTAGAATCTGAAAGTTATGTGGTTTTTTTATGCTAAAATGTGCTTTGATAGCAAGCTCTTTTTTAAAAAAATGGAGGACTTGTGGCTTTGTGTAAGGTTAGGAAATTTCACAGTTTTTTCATGTAGTAGTTTGTTCCTTGATTGTAGAGATAGGTTTTGAAACATTACTTGTACTTAAATAGCTGTTAGAAGAATCTGACTCAAGTGTCAAGTAAGAGGAGTCAGTTTGCACTGAGGAATTGATATATTTAGTGGGATCAAAAAGGAAATTATTCTGTCTTCTGCAACTTACGCATTATTTTCTTATCATGTTCGGAGTGTTGCTTCTCTAATAATCCAGGCAAATGCAGTAGCAATGCTATTTTTGTTAAATTGCAGAGTTTGAATTTGGATCTAAGTGTTTTATAGCAGAATAATTGCGGAAGACAATATTGCTTCAAGTACTACCAAAAAACAATCTTGTGTGAGAGCTCTTTTTACACTTGGGGGAAGATGAAAGCCTTTTTTTCTCAACTTCCTCTGGAATTTTTTTTACTTTTCTTAGCCTTCATCTCTCTCTCCAGTATAATTTGATTTGAGGTTTTGGCCAGTATCCCACAAATTGTTGAATTGTTCCTGCCTTCTAACGTGGCTTAATGAATGCTGGTCATCCTATGTCACTTTGACATTTTGTACTTAGTATTGCTCAATAAATATTTAGTAGTGGGCATAGTAGGAATGTGCCCAGCAGTAACCTAGGATTACTTGAAAAGTCAATCCATATTTTAAAGGAATGGTCCAACCAATTACCTGTTTGAGTTCACTCTGAATTATTTGTTGTTTGTTCTTTGAGTTTGCTAAAGTTGCAGATTTCTTGCCAGACTGTTACAGATGCGGGAGGAAAGGGGGAGCTTGCTTACCTTGGGTTAGGAGCTGCGTGGGTGAGAGGTGTCTCAGATTTTTTTTTTATGCTGTTTGAAATCAAGGAAAGTTGCACAGCTAAGCTTTTGAGGTTCTGTTACAGCCCTACAGGCTGTGGAACTCCGGTCTGCTGCCTGCAGCTAGTAAACAGCTTTGGAGAGTTGTTTTTTATGGGTATTGCTTCATTTGTTTTGGCTGTGGTATGAATTCAGTTGCAGTTGATTGCCATATGGCACAGCGCAGTACAGTTGCAAGATGAAGGTAATGCTCAAGCTCTTTTTCTTTCCTAGAAGGGGGAGATGCCATGAGGATATTGTCTTTATTAAGATCACATTGCTTTAATATTTGGGTTGCAGATACTATTAATTTCTGTTCCTATTTTGGACAAAGTATTCCCTAGTAGCTAAAACTGAGATTATTATTACAAGACTAATCCTATGATCCATGTGTGTCCATTGCATATGTATATCTGTATGATTACATGATATAACTTCCACCTCAAGAGATAACTAAATTTGTTTTCCTATTCTTACATGCACACTTAGCAATACGAAAACGTCTATGCTTGTAACATTTGGGTAGGAAAAATCCCTTTCATGGTCGCATTACTACTTTTTAACTGATGAACTGTATAAAAAGTATACACTGTCTTGATATAAGGGTTCTGTTATGAAAGTTGAAGATGTGAAGGCAATTTTGCTACCTCAGAACTGGTCTAAAAGATGCTTCAAACCACCATAAAGAGTTGAATGCTATCATGTTTGCAGGTTCAGGGGTATCAAAATATTTAGAAAACACCTTTACTAGCAATTTCCTCCATTATCAGCATTTGAACAGTGAAGAATTTTTTTTAGATAATTACGTGTCCATGTGTGGATATATTTATTGCTGTATATATACATGTATGCACACACTCACATATCCACACATAAATATACACATGTATGTATGTATATGTATACCTATTTTGAGAGTATTTGGATCCCTCACTGCAGGTAGGTCAGTTATTTTTTTCTTTCCCTTGAAAGATATAAAAGGTTGAATACCTAAGTTAGCAGAACTACCCAGTTGACAGGACAGAATTTCTCACATATGAATATAATGGATCTATTTATTTTTTAATGTCTTGCTTGAAAACAATTCCTTCAAAAGAACTAGATGATGAAGCTTTTTGCAGCACTGAGAAAAGCTGACTTTGACACCAACATTTCTGAAGTGGCTCTTGCATTTCTTTCCAGAAGTCTTCAGTGATTTTTGAGGGGGAGGGAGAAAAAGTTATTTTGTGGTCCTCAAGGAAAACTCTATTCCTTGATGGTACGTCCTTGACTTTACTGAGTGTTGGTTACAGAGAAAGACATCTCATGTGGATCACACTTGGGGTTCATTTCCAAATTATGAGTAGCTGCAAAGTACCTTAAGCTGGTCCAAAAGTAGGAAGGAACTAGGACAGTTGTCCATAACTTCTCCTGAGGTTTCAGTAGTAGTTTCAGCCTTCAGGGCACATTTTGAAGTTTGAGAGCAGCTGCATTCCCACAACTTCACCTCTGTCCAATCTGAATTCAGTGCCAAGCCTGTTCAACCTTTTCTGCCCAAATCATCCGACAGCATTTCTTACTTCTACTGTAATAGCAATATCAGACACGGCTTCAGTTTTTGAAGCCCTATTTCCTGCTGGATCTCCTTATTGCAAGAATTGCTATTGCAAGCCAGTTGATCTTCTGGTTTTGATTGGATCTCTCTACCAGTGCAATTCCATAACTTCCAGCTGTATTCTTAACCCATTCTCAAGGCTGCCAGGTCTTGGGCAACTTTGTACATGACATCCTACACAAGTTGTCTGGACCATATTATTATATGCATATAGAGGCTTGGTTGGAAGAAAACAGTGGCAAACCACTTCCGTATACAGTGGGACAAAAAAGTATTTAGTCAGCCACCAATTGTGCAAGTTCTCCCACTTAAAAAGATGAGAGAGGCCTGTAATTTTCATCATAGGTATATCATCTCAATACTTTGTTATATATCCTTTGTTGGCAATGACAGAGGTCAAACGTTTTCTGTAAGTCTTCACAAGGTTTTCTCATCTCAATACTTTGTTATATATCCTTTGTTGGCAATGACAGAGGTCAAACGTTTTCTGTAAGTCTTCACAAGGTTTTCTCATCTCAATACTTTGTTATATATCCTTTGTTGGCAATGACAGAGGTCAAACGTTTTCTGTAAGTCTTCACAAGGTTTTCTCATCTCAATACTTTGTTATATATCCTTTGTTGGCAATGACAGAGGTCAAACGTTTTCTGTAAGTCTTCACAAGGTTTTCTCATCTCAATACTTTGTTATATATCCTTTGTTGGCAATGACAGAGGTCAAACGTTTTCTGTAAGTCTTCACAAGGTTTTCTCATCTCAATACTTTGTTATATATCCTTTGTTGGCAATGACAGAGGTCAAACGTTTTCTGTAAGTCTTCACAAGGTTTTCTCATCTCAATACTTTGTTATATATCCTTTGTTGGCAATGACAGAGGTCAAACGTTTTCTGTAAGTCTTCACAAGGTTTTCTCATCTCAATACTTTGTTATATATCCTTTGTTGGCAATGACAGAGGTCAAACGTTTTCTGTAAGTCTTCACAAGGTTTTCTCATCTCAATACTTTGTTATATATCCTTTGTTGGCAATGACAGAGGTCAAACGTTTTCTGTAAGTCTTCACAAGGTTTTCACACACTCTTGCTGGTATTTTGGCATACCTATGATGAAAATTACAGGCCTCTCTCATCTTTTTAAGTGGGAGAACTTGCACAATTGGTGGCTGACTAAATACTTTTTTGCCCCACTGTAGCTGTCAAGGAAACTGCATAGAATGGCATAAGAGTGAAGATTGACCTGAGAATATCTTTACATTTATAATCATTACATAGTGGACAATATTTATAATGTGGTTTGTTTGATTTTGCTGATCATGATGTGCAAACCCATCCTAAATAAGAAACTGTGGCTTGCATCATGCTAAATTAAAGTCAAACCAACCATATTATGACTTAACATAGAAATCCAACATAACAGTGCCACTTTGCTGTATTTATTTCCTTTATGAGCTTCTCAAAGGCAAGTGATATTACTTCCACATCATTCCCTTTCCTTGTTTTGTCTTTTATACATACTACCACATATACAAATTAGTGACTCACCTGCTGTTTGTTCTTTGGTATCATCCCCTAGATTTCTGGTTGTAGAACTTGATCTACGTGCTGGTTGTTAAACAGGATTGGCACAATGGCATGGATTCTAGGGAGTTTTTGGGAAGGAAACACCCTTGTGGGTTGAACTGGCACACTGATTTTGTAAAAAATAAAATCAGTTGGGGTTGCCTAGTGAGGAAGATTTGTGTTCCTGGGCTTGCAATCACCACAAGAAAAAAATCCCAACTAGAAGAGCTTCAGAAGAAAACCTACACACAATTTTAATAAGACACCAACACCTTGTGTCAGTTGTGTGATTCAACATTTTGGCTGTACGTTGCTGTAATGAAAACAAATTTAGAACCTTTCCTGGGATGTCTGTTGACTGTTGTAAGCTTGGTACAATTTTAATTGTCGGCCTTGCTGTCAAAGATAATAGGTACCAGGTGCTGGCTAAGCTTGTTTTCAGTACTCTCATGTTGAGAAGGGTTTATTTTATTGCAAACCAAGACTACATGGACATTCTTGGAAATGTTATGTTCATTCTGAATATATGCAGAATTCATATTACAGAGAAAGAAGAATCCAGTCATTCTTTTAAAAATGGTAAGCATTTTGCACTTGTGACTATTTAAATTTTTCTCATCTTTCCCCTTGGTTTCAGTGTTATATTATTTCAAGGGCAGACTGTCCCGGTCATAGAGGAAAATTTATCTCTTGAAATGGCAGGCCATAAAACCTACTTGTCCTCCTGTACTTAGGGAGCAAGTTTGAATGAAAGGACACTCCTGGGGCAATTTGTGTAAAGGCTTCTGCCATATGCTGCCTTATGCTGGAGCAGCCTTATTGCAGTCTAGCGCTGTGTATTGCTTAGGATTCAGTTCCAACAGGGGAATGAACATAGCACATATTTGCAACTCTTTAAGGCAACCCAACATTAAGTGATCTCACTAAAAGATATGGGGTTTTAAAGAGTTGCAGACAAGTGCTACTTTCATGGTTCCCTATTCTCTTAAGCACCTTTCTAGAACCGCTTCTGAAGCACTGCACCATGCTACTCCATACTGTTTAAGCTCTCTGACTTGGAGAGAGCAAGTAGATAAATCAAGGTTAGTTGAACATTTCATATCAACCAGTATCTTTAATTAATGGTGGAGTCATAAATTAGGGTTTGCTCTTACTTGTGACTCAAGCTTGTGAGGAGAAGAAAAAGCTAGGGATTTCAGTTAATAGGTAATATTGAATCTCAGAGTGACAGGGCTCCCAGATTAGACAAGATGAGCTGCAAAACCTTTTTGAGCTTTAGAATCATATTTAGAATGGGGAGGACGGATGTCTTGGACAGTCTTATAAAATAGCCCCTCCCACCAATGACAGCCAATTACAAAACAGCCCTTTAGTAAAAGGTAAACTGAGATTGCTCCCTGCTGGTCCCTTTTGCTTCCCAGGATGCTCTGAAACAGCTCATCTTTGTCTTTTTGGAAACTTGTGGGAATGCTTCCAAGCAAAACAAGGGACACTAGTATTTAAGAATGTGCCTTTTAGGCTGAATCATTGTTGGAAATATGAGGCTGGTGATTTGCTTTATAGCAAGTGGCCTCCACTTTATCATGTTTTAATTGCATTAGCATTAATAAGATCTGGTGGGTAGGGAATTTGGCAGGATCAAGGCAGGTTTGGCTAGGATGTGATCCAGGATTAGCTGGAGCAAAATGGAGGTGATTGAACAGCATAGATCAGCACACTTGCTTGATCACAGTAAGCTAACATTCCAAGGAATCTGCTTCCTTTCCTATTGGCAGCCTTTACAGAGCTGAGAAATGGAACCTTATTGCAAGTCCTTGTTATATGGGTATTAGTGCCATTAAAAAGCCCTGCACCTTTCCTGCAGAAAATTAGGAAGTTTTGTTTATTCTTTTGGGCACTTAATAATTTACTTGGTGTAGGTGTTCATGTTGAAAAAAGGAACATAAATTAAAAAACAAACTGCTAGTTTAAAAAAATACTTCGGAAAATTCACAAAGCATTCTCCCTCCCTCCCTTTTCCCTTTGATCCTTCCACTTCTCCATCGTTTGGTATCACTGTGGACTTTCTCCAAGTACTTTCACCTTTGATGTTGTCATGAATGCTTGATTAGCAATGTTGCCACCCTTATTACACATTGCATATTGTTCAAATTTTCCTTTCCTATTTTTCTGGCAGTATCTGTTGTGTTGCCATTCTTTTGGAGAAATTCTAATTGAACTTTCTGGGAATCAAGGGCAGTTGCTGAATTAATACTTTAGAAAACTTACTTATTTATGAAAAAGTCTGGAGGAAAATAATTCCTTGGTATGTCTCTATTTTCTTGTTTATGATTCTTTTGGCTGCAAATTGGTTGAGGCATTCAAATCTGTATTTAGTGTTTGCTTGCTTTGTTTTGGTGTGATGTGGGACATTAATACCTATGCAGCTGATTCAGCCATCTAGTGATGTTACATGGTAGTGCCTAGAATATGCAGTCCCTTGTTAACTTGACAATTTTGTGTTGAAGACAGTCCCCAACTGCATTTGAAAATGCTTATCTAGGCATAGATTGACTTCTTTAGATAGAAACTGTTTTAGGAATTTTATGAAGGATGAGCAGATTTGTGATTTTATAGAAAAGTGAGATTTTAGAATCTCTTAAGCATATTTAAATATGTCTACAAAATTAATTTATTAATCCATGGGTGTTCTTGTTATAATATTTTTCAACTTACTGTTTTTTAGCAGAAAGAGAAAATGGAAAGCAACAGCTCACTTTGTATTCAGCGTTGGTCTACTAGACATGTGGCCAAATGGCTGAAGGAAGAAGGCTTTTGTGAGTATGTGGACGTTCTTTGTGATAAACACCGATTGGATGGGATTACGCTATTGACTCTGACAGAGTACGACTTGAGATCTCCTCCCCTGGAAATCAAGATTTTAGGTGATATCAAGCGGCTTATGTTGTCAATACGTAAACTGCAGAAGCATCATGTTGACATTTTGGAAGAGCTTGGCTATTGCAATGACAGCCCCATAGGTTCCCTGTCGCCCGTGATTGGCTGTGTTCAAGGGAGAGAATGGTTTTGCAATGGTGAAGTGCAGCGGGACTGTGATGACTGTGAACCTGTGTCTGATCTGAGCGCTGAGCAGTATCAGTACACAAATGGGAAAAACAAACATTCTGTAAGAAGGCTGAACCCAGAGTACTGGAAGACGGCTTTGAGCTGCATATATGTGTTCATTGTGTTTGGCTTTACATCCTTTGTCATGGTCATTGTGCATGAGCGAGTACCTGATATGCAGACCTATCCACCACTTCCAGACATATTCCTGGACAGGTAAGAGCACTTCTAACTGTTAAATGGACACTTTTGAGTAGAATTGAATGATGGAATTATTTGTGGACAATACTGATTTGTCCCTTTTTCCAGGAGCTGATTGTATGCATGAACTTTTCTATAAGTGTAGAAATTATAGGGAGTGAGTTACTGTACTTATGTTGCAACTGAGAAGCCCATCTGGGAAGTTCTAGATGCATGCGTCCAAGTGAAAAAGTCACATCAACTTCATTCTGTTATTTGTTTGCAAATCCACCTGTGCTTTTGAAAGTACAGCATCAGGCTGATACGGGAATAGAAGTCCAGACTTCTTAAAGTTGTCAAGGTTGACAAACAATGACCTAGACCATATCCTGGACACATCATAATATGTGAAATTGCCTGTGTGATTTCTATAGCAACCTGTATAATATCTTGATTACTGTGTAGTTTTCTCAGTGAGGTTGAGTGAGGACTGTGAAATCAGAAATCCGACTGCTGGATCCTATCAGCGTAGTATATTCTAGTGGTGTGAACTGGATTTGTGTGAAGTTTGGATTCCGGGGTGGAATGGGGAAATTCAGAATGGATTTTAATTTGCCTGGGGCAAGGCAGATGAATCTAAATAATATTTGTTCCAGTTCTGAACTTTCAGTTAAATTCCAGCCCCAAACCAAGCCAATTTTTGTTGTTGATATCCAATACCATGGTTGGATGGGAGGGGGGAACCTACTGGTTTTGATGTCTTCCTGATCTGCTCTCTGGGCAGAAAAGCATTTGCGGTCAGAACGTTCTTGGACATGATGGTCTGATTGTGAGAACCACTCCAATTTGAGGCAAGAACAATCTACCTCCTAAACACGATGTTACATCACAAGGGCTCTATGGTGCAGCTGCCCCAGTGACACCATTTTGCAGCACAGCAGAATTCCCAAGCCCAATGGAGCATTTTAAATGGGTGAGAATTCACACATTCTGAATTCACTCCAGAGTTCATAATTCATACAGATCCATTGATTAATCCTAAGGATTATACAATAATGATATCATTGCTCATCCAATGATACCAGAATTGTAACACCCTCAATAAAATTGATGCAGCATCTTAATATTTAGTGCATCCCTGGGAGACTAAGGAATCACAAATTTGTCAAATTTATTCTGCCACCAAAAAAAAGAGTACAGTTTATATTTTAAAAATGAATAGCCACAAAAAATGACAACTGTATGTTTTGATGATTCCTATCTAACCTATCACTGTGATTGTGGAAAAATTGCATTTTAGTGCTTACATTTTTTTAAATATAATTTTCCAGTTTGATTTTAAGTGAGAACACACTGTTCTATAGCTCTAAGAACAAAGGCCAGTTCTTAATGTGTTCTTGCCGCAAATGAATAGGACAATCTTGTGGCAGCAGTTTGCGGTCCTCAAGAAGGCCAGATTATTTTTCCCTACCATTCTCTGCTTTCATTCAATGTCATTTGACACTGGGTTCATTCATGTAAAAGCCATAACTGAGTCACTTCTCAGGCTGAGCTAAAAACAAAGAAGCTGTATTGTGTCTGAATGTTATCTATGACCCAGGTCATTGAATTTAGGTATTATTTTAATCATTGTTTTACATTTAAGAATAACAGAAAGATGAGTTATTGAATGCCAGATGTTATTCTAGGACAAATTTGTGCATTCAGGCATTGGGGACCTCTACTAGATTCTAGCCAGCAAACAAGGTGAGAAGTGGCAGCAGTTGTCTCTGTGATTATGACCTTTAGTAACAGAATGGCATGTGATTGCTGAATAACTTCTCATCTGGTGATGTCATGGTGCATATCCCTTAAGTATGGGTTACAGAGAATGATTGCAAAACATTTTGCAGACAAGCGTTAATGTGTCTGTTGAACACAAAAGGGTCATTATAATGCAGACAATTATCTTGGTTTAAGCCTTTTGGTCTTAAATATTAATCTTTGAGATGTTCAGATAAAAGATAAAAACTAATACAAATTAATATAAAGTAAGAAAGAAAAAAGAAAGAAATCAAAGAGAAAGATAAAAAAGAAAAATAGGAAAGAAAAAGATATAAAGAATTGGCTTCCCATCTTTTTTACAGCAATTATAAGTACAATTATATATTTATCTCTTTCTCTAAAGTTACAGCATGTCTCTCTTCTTTCTATAATCTATTCTGTCTAATCATCAAAACCATAAATCATAAGTTCTTTTTTTTCCCGTTTTACACAAAAAGTCCATAGGGGGTTTCCAGTCAGCAATCAACGTAGATATTGTCTTGTTGATCAAAGAAGTCAATTTGGCCATCTCAGTGAGTTCCATCACCAACTATAATTTTAGGCCTGAAAATTGAATTGGAATGTCTCCTTAAAGGCCTCGCAGTAAGTTGCCCAAAGTCAGTTCCAAATTCCACCAGGCTTAAGAGATTGTGCTCCCCAATTTCCACCCAAACTCTTATCAAAAAAGAATTTAACTCCTTGTTCAAGACGATCCAAAAGTGCATCACCCTATTAATATTTCTAGTATTTGCAACAGAACAATAGAAGGAATCTAGCTGGCTGCCATTTCCCAATTATTCAGTTTTCACTCATGCATCTTGTGTCACTTTCCTTTTCAATTAGTAAATCAAACTATTGCTTTGATTGAAGACAAACTTTTGATTGTTTGCCACATAGTTAGATTAATCCACCGCATATTGTGGTTGCACTAGTTTAAACAGAAAGTAATCCTGTGTAGCTTCTTGCTCAAATTTTTTTAAACTAATTCAGAAAAACTCTGACGTAGATATATGGTACTCCTTGCAAACTACAAGTTGCGCTTGGTATGCTATGTTTGAGTATCAACCTTAATTTTCCACCAATCTATCTCACATGAATGAATCTGCAATACAATTGTGTGTGTGTAGCTTTTGAGCAGTTTTACATCTTCCATTTATGCTGAAGTCAAAGACTTCGACATAGTTCACATAATGCTGTTTTTCTCTTCTATTCTAAGTGTCCCTAGAATACCATGGGCTTTTGCCATGACTGAAGTATGTGGAGTGATTCTCTGCTACATCTGGTTGCTGGTTCTCCTCCTTCACAAGCACAGGTAGAGTTCTGAAATAGTCTGCTACTTCCAAATTAAAGACTGTGTGGTTTTCTGCTCTCCATCGTAGTTCCAGAAAAATAGGGAAGAGAACTTATTTTACTATTAACAGGGAATGCTAACATTTGTTTCCCACAACGAAATCATTCACCTGAATGGGCATGCACAGATGCTTTAGCCATTATCACAACTTTGATGTCTGTAAGTTTACACGTTACTGGTTGCATGGTATGCCAATCTAATAATGACTTATATTGGTATGAAAAAAGATGGCTTGCCTGTGGCACTTGTGTATGTAACTGTTGTTTCCCAGATTCTCTTCCAAAATGTCTTTACTAGCCCTGAAGGCTTAGTAAAGTTATCATGAGTTTTTCTGCCAGAAGGAGATGTTTATGTCAAGAAGAATCAAATGGAACTGAAAATGTTGTACTTGGATGGTTGGAGAGGGCAAGACATCATTTAGGGTAGGGGTATTTTGTATTGCTAATATGTTTAAGCCCTGTGATAGACATCTTAAAGGTAGAACTTACCCATGGTAGGAGATTGCATTTCCACTTCTTGGCTGATTGGATGAATTTCACACAGAGTTCATATTATATTTAGTGTAATGCTTCTAGATAGGGATCCACAGTTTTGGTACCCAAGTCTAATTGCAATCAACTGCCTCTTGCTATGTCCATATCCTTGTTCTGTATCTGCCTCTGAGATCAAGAATAATCTCTGTTGCTCTTCTAAAGTCTGGACCTGGACTATGATAGAGGTTTCTTGTATAGTCCCCTTTGGAGATGCTGGGATCAACCCTGATTATGAACTTAGTTTGTAGAGTCATTGTTTCATGATTTATATATAATTTTTAGATTGTGGCTTAACAATCCAAAATTTTAAGCTAAGCATGTAAAGAAAAGAAGAAATGCGCAAGCTAATTGTTTATTCCCAGTCCAATCGATTGTCATATCTTTCATCTCAAGGAATAGGTGAAGATTCTTAAGAAGCATAGCAGGGTTAGAATTAGGGTTTTCTCATGTTTGTAACCAAGTGAGAGTCCTTAAACCAAATATTTATTTTTATGGGATCACCTTGCAGCAGCAGAGGACAGCTGCACAGTCCTGAGGAAAGATGTGGCTGCTTTAAAGAGCTGCAAACAGCTCTTTAAACAGCCACATCTTTTCCCCTTCAACTCCAATGTGCCATGTAGCCCTAGCATTCAGTGCAGAGAAATTAGCACACACACCACACCAAAGGCTTGGATCCTAAGATGAGTTAAGTTAAATAAGTTTCTGGAAGAGACTTTTCAGCCCCTGGTACCCCATGCAGCCACCTGCATTCTCCACAAAGCATGTGTGGAGGGAATCCCTCCAGAACAACACGAGATGGAGATGCTAGTGAAGTTAGGGATGGGAAAATGTCATTCCATGAGCTTTCCAACTGTTAAAAGTAACTCTGGCTTCTTGTTTCTAGATCTATCCTTTTGCGACGACTATGCAGCCTGATGGGAACTGTGTTCTTGTTGCGTTGTATAACAATGTTTGTGACGTCACTGTCTGTGCCAGGCCAACATTTGCAATGTTCTGGAAAGGTAAGTCGGTGAGTCTCCAAGATCTTGGACAAAGACCTTTGACCTCACCAGCATTTTGAATTTTTAGCTGGATATATCAGATTAGGATTAGCATGTGCTCTACCCAGATTCAGTCCTAGTATATCGAAGACAGATTGATGAAGTCTTATGTTTACTGGCACAATATGGAAGCACTGAGTATTGGCAAACTGTTGTACAACATGGGAGTGATAATTGAACTATTTACATGTTTATTATGCCAAACCTGATGGAATATATATTTGAAGACTTTGAACCCTTTAGAATGGGACATAAAAGTAACATTATTAAATATTTATAAAGCTCTTACACAAATTGAAGAGAAATTGAAATTATGTGAATCTAGGTTAACTGTCATTATATCTTACGCCAATACCTGAGCTGAATATATAAAGTACTGTTAGGCACTATAGAGTGTTCATTCAGGAATGAAGTCTGCAAATTATTTTTAAGAGGTAAATGCTGGGTGCATCCCCAACAGCAGGAAGTAAAATGCAAGCTGTGTTTACTTTACTGTGGGGGCAAATGCAGCATTTATCTTAACTCTCCTGTGTTCTCAATGTGTTCCTTTCAAATGTTGTGCATGATTCTGATTCTAGTTATATGGCAATGTGTGGGCAAAACTTCAGCGAGCCTTTGCTATTTGGAGTGGATTTGGCATGACGTTAACAGGAGTGCACACCTGTGGAGACTATATGTTCAGTGGCCATACTGTTGTCCTGACTATGCTGAACTTTTTTGTTACCGAATGTAAGTAGAGAATTGAAAATGGAACAAGATTATTGTCCATCTAGTTTGCCCCAACTTCTGTTCGTCCTTTCCCTTTCTGGTTTTGTGCAACATTTCTTACCCAGCAGATAAAGCAGTGGCACTTCAAATGTTGCTGGACTTCAGCTCCCACCATCCTTCCCCCCAGAGGTCATGTTGGATGGAGCTGCTGGGAGTTGTAGTTTGGCACCTTCTGGAGGCCCCCACCTAGGTTGCCTAGTTGTGAAATAAAGATTTCAGTCAATGGGGGGAAAAACAGGTTTCAGTTGGAAAAACGAGAATCTAGTAAAGGTCATTAGTATTAGTGATTGACCCCCATATTAGAAATAATTAGTAATTATGAAAGAACTATTGAATGCTGCATGTTCCAATAATGTGTGCCATTTGTGTTCTAGAAGTACAAGCAAAAAAGATTTATTTATATATAATTTTAAAACATTTCACTGACACCAGCATTCATGATCTGCGTACTAATTCTGTGTTAAACTAGCCTCTTACTTATAATAAGTTTAATACAAGCATCATGAAAACTAGCTATGCTTGTTTAGAGCTAACTACTGTTGGTGTTCTGGAAATTAAATCATAAACTATAGGCAAGCAGATGTCCTGTCCTCAGGCTTACAGTCTAAAGGGCAAAAGAAGAGAATGAGAATGGAAGATAAATATAGTAGAGGGCGATCAGTTCAGTTATCTTGAGGAGGCAAGTTATTACAGGACCAGAGTCCTCAAGATTCGGGCAGCATATAATTATTATTATTGGTCACACAGTCAGCCAGTTGTTTAGACTAGATTTGGCATTTTTATCTACCTGTAGATGATGATGATGATACATTTCAAACCAGTGAGGTCTGTGTTGCTCTTCCCCTTGCTATTATTCCTGCTAAGAGAACAGGTCCCAGCAGTTTTTTTTAATCTTTTGTGATGGGCACTGTTCTTCTGTTCCACACCAGTTACTGAAGCTTATCCCAAGCCTTCCTGCTTGCTTCTAGTTCACTGCCTGTCCAGAATATGTCTAGAATACAATTATGAAAAGTTCCGAGTTATGGGTGGTTGACTGCTGTGTTCCTTTTAGATACCCCAAGAAGCTGGAACTTTTTGCATACGTTGTCTTGGGTGCTGAATCTGTTTGGGATCTTCTTCATTTTGGCTGCTCACGAACATTACTCCATTGATGTCTTCATCGCCTTCTACATCACCACAAGACTCTTTCTGTATTATCATACCCTGGCGAACACAAGAGCCTATCAGCAAAGCAGGAGGGCCAGGATCTGGTTTCCCATGTTCTCCTTTTTCGAATGCAATGTCAATGGTACAGTTCCAAATGAATATTGCTGGCCCTTTTCAAAGCCAACCATATTGAAAAGATTAATTGGCTAAAGAATATTCAGTTTAATTCACATCTGTATGAAGTACCTGCAACTAACTTCCTTCAAGAAACACTGGACAGAAAGGGTTGTTTTCACCCACAGCATCTCCTCTGGCCTTGTTCATCCTGCCCTGGCTACAAGGTTCAGAGAAGAACAAGAACACATTGCCATTTTTTTAAATATTCAGGCAAAGTTGTTAAGCTGTAATGACGTTCTGCATGAATGTGGTGAGGGTAAATTGCTGCTTCAGCAAATCTCGTAGCTTCCTTGTTGGAGGATCTTAAATTGTTCTTTGCCATGGGAACAACTTTGGATCCAGGTACTACCTGAATAGCTTTTGGGTCTGTTTGCACATCATGGGTAATCATAAATGGCTGCGCATTGACTATCTCCAGTTTGCGCCCTATGGATGGCCCTTTGGCTTTGGTGTGGATTCTGCTCATGAAAACCTTTTGGAATGGGTAGCCGCACGGTTCAAATGCAAGGCAATACCACTTACAGTCTGGATGAAACCAATAACAGCAAACCAAGAGAAGCTCGTGTCTTGCATTTGGACAGTATGTTTAAATATGGGGAATGATTAACCGGCTAGTGATGGAATGGCCTTGCTCAGATTGCTTGCAGAAAGAGATCATGCATGCAGGTGGGCTCTAGCAGGGTGCGTTCACAGCTTAACTATGTAATGCTTATATGTGATGTGCAAGCACAGTTATTGTATCTTGGACAAATACCAGTACTGACACAAATGCCATAGCTGTACGGTAATTGCCTCTAAAGGTTTATTTAGCAAGTAAATGGGTTGGGGAACATTCACCCAGTGGAATGAGTTCCAAAGCCTTCAGTGTGAAAAAGACATGCTGTATTAATAAAAGGGCCAAGGTTAGGGTCTCTGGTGAATGATACTAAAATGGCAACTCTGAACAGGCTTCACTGACTTAAGGTAAGTTAATACTATTTTGTCACCCAGAGGTCCTGAGTGTTTACATTTCAATAAACCGGTAAGAAATACATTATCTTCTGAAATGAGGTTGATTGAGATTTAGTGCCACAACTCTTTCAGGCAGTATTAAAAACACTTATTTAAATCTCTGCATGCTTTTCAAACATTAACATTAGGGTAGTAATATTGTTTGGGTGACAAGCAAATAATGTTACATTGAATAAAGGAAAGGTGGAATCTTAATGGAGTTTGGTTGAAGTACATGGAGATGCACAGAACAGATGTTTTGGGAAAGGAGGTTGTTTCTCTCCCCTTCGCTGTAGTCTTCAAAGGTATCTGACCACGGCAGAAGTTGAAATTTAATTGGCTGCTTGAGAAACTTCTGAGCCTCTTTTGTTGCAAGTTAATCAAGGGAACTTTTGTGGTTTCAGTCACTGTCACCTTCTTTTGATGAATAACACTTGGCATTTGCAGGTCCTGGCATCCCCTATTTTTTCTGTGAAACCTAGCTTTCATAGAAGTTACTCAGATTTGTTCTTGAACTTTTAAACCATATACTCAATTTAAAGTTGGGAGTCCCAATAGGCTGAAAATGGGGTTGGTTTTTAGAATGTTGGTTAAAATGAGTTCAGGGTACAGCCTTTCAAAATATAAAAAAAAAGTTTTGGTCATTTTAAATCTGGAATGCAAGATTTGTCACTTCAGCACAGGTTGCTCATTCTTTGAATTCATTTCCATTGTACGTATGACTATGTACCTGTTCAAAATTGTCTGTCCGCACAACTGGACTTTTAGAATCATACTGTGCGTATGGATTGTTTATAATCCATTTCTAATTTATAGTTTTAAACTCGACATTAAAAGTTGCAGTCAAGTCAATTATAGAATCTTAGTCATTAACTTCATGGAGTACAGTAAGTTTCAGTGATCCAGAATAGCCAGTCTGTCCTCTTGTTTGGATACTTTTCAGTTAATTAACACTGATTTTCTGGTGTAGGTCAGATGACAATGTAGCCTAATTGCAACCTTTTTCCAGTGCCTCTTCCTGATAGCTAAACTAACCCAATCTCAGAGAACTGTTTCCAGAGCTGTGAATTGGCAAAAGGCATGTAAGAGATCATGAACGCAGTCCTTTTTGATTCTGTGCTCTGTACTGAACATGGATTAATATTGGTAGGCATGAAAATACAGGACTTTGCTCTGAACTTCAAGAAACCTTTCCAAAAATGGGCTGAACTAAAATTAGAGGCACATAAAACTTTCTCATTCTGCACTTTAAAAGTATTTTCACCCAAGAACATTGTATAGTTTCTAATGATATTTAATATTGCCACAGTAATACAGTATTCATGTAAATGTCTACTTCAGAATCTTTTGTGCCATTTTAAGGTGAAAATATTCTCCTTGTAGAGAATAGTTTGCCTTATTTTTCACAAATTGCGGGATGTTCCAGAGAATGTTTTGAAACTGAATCCTTTCTATAAAGATATTTCTATGCATACTGGCCCTTAATTTGCATTGTTAGTATTCATAAGTCCAGTGCATAAAGAAATTGGGCAGGGGGGTCATCTCCCAGTATATTATAGCGCAGCATGAGTTTTTTAAAAAATTAGAAATACAGAAGCAGCCTCAGTTGTTTCTATCCACTGAAGTGGCAGCTTTTTATGGTTGCAGCGATGGGGCAAACAATAATGTGAACAATTTGCATTTTGAATACAGTAATATTGCATCTTTTGTGTGGCAGAATGGGAAAAATTAAAATGATTTTCTCCCCTCACTCACAGCAACACACTTCAGAGTTTACCTAATGTTTGCTTGATAGCGAAAGTGGAAATTAGCTTTCTTTGAAGCACACAATGTTGGCTTTTTAAAACAAATCTCAGTAAAATATAACTGTGAATACTAGATAGAAGCAGTCTTTCCCTAAGTTTACAAATGCCTTTGGTGACGGAACAATTCTTTACCCACCAAAAGTATTCTGAAGTTTACAGTTCAGATCCGCAGTATTATATTGCTAGTTCACCTGGAAGCAATGCAATAGAACCAGTTGTATTGGAACAAATGTACAGGAACAGAACTTAACGGCCTTCTATATGAGTAGCTTTGATGATCTTTCTATGCCTGGACAGTGCCATTTAAAAGTTCAGGCGGAGGCTTCCTTGACAGAATGCTTCCCCCGTCAAGAAAAAACTGTACAAAGAATTCTGCCTCTGAAGTCTTAACTAATTCGTTGCTCCTAGTATGACTTACGTGCAACTTTGAAATAATATGCAGTTGTAATGATAGTTGTATTTGCACTTTGGATTCTAATCAAAATTAGCTGTTCTATGAATTGTAGCATTATAGTCTGGAATATTTCATCTTAAATTTAATGCCACGTTTGTTCATTCTGAAATATGTGTCATTCTCATTTCCCCAGATTGTTCCAAAGTATAATATGTTTATACCGTGGATTTCTCCTGTTTAATAGGTCAGATTTGAGTGTTATCCTTTAACTTAGAGAAGTAATATATATTATATTACCACTGATTTCTTAATTTTCCAAGCAGGATTCTTTGTTTACCTTTTGTTTGTATTCGGAGTAGAAAAGTAGTAAAAGTAAGACCAATGATTTCAAAACCTGGCATGTATTATTTTGTAAATCAGAAGTACCTCATGTCCTTTAAAGGATGTCAGTGGGCAGTAACTTAAGGTTTGCCTTAACCTGACACCCTGGGTGTTATGTTTCCCTGCTGTTGGCACCAAGCACTATCTAGCCTGTTAAGGACATATCCCAAACAAGGACTGTGATGTGTTCTGCTATTGCCCAAATCTTTAAACTAATATTTGAATACACCCATTATGCAATCACCAGTTTCTTTTAATCCAGGAGTGTCAAAATAGCCACTCCAGGATCCTTTTCCTGCTTCCTAGTAGAAACTTAATTAGCTAATGGGTGGATGTCACTTGGCCATGAAAACAAATTCTGGCAAAACCAAGGTTTCACAGGCCCAGAAGTATCACTGCCATCATAGTGGAGGGCTCTGTTTCAGTCCCAAGGGGCCTGGCCTGGCCTGAGGACATCTGATTTTAAAACAAGGAACTATACATCTCTACAGTTCTATTTCCTCAGTTATATGCTAAGCGTGGTTGCTGTTTTGCTGTTTTGCTCAACAAAACCAAGGCAAGAGGAGAATAGTGATTAGGCTAAAGTTGTTGATTTGATATATATCTCACAGACATTTTGCTTTTGATCTTTCCCCTATCCCCAAGAACATGGTGATGTTTGAAGACTTGAATATTCCTTTTACAGAAGAGTTTGAAGCACAGGTGTTATGTAAGTGAAGATGGGGTTAGTTCCAATATGAACATGGATTTAATTTATATTGTTTTGTATGTCTTGTGTTAAACTATTGAAGCATTCAATAAAATCTAAAGATTAACTAAATTTAAACGATATACTTTCATCTCAGTAACTATCTAATACAAACAAAAGTCTCCTTTCTTTCACAGATCATTACTCGAGTTCAGTTTCACAGGTTCTAGAATAACCATTTCCAAACATACTAGAAAAGAATGCTGTGAATTGATTTACAAGGGCTTTTGAGCACCCAAAGATTTCGCTGCCTCCACTTTAGCTGATCTGAACTTTTATTTCTAATTAGCCTTTGCTGGAATTGAGTAATTCTGCTGCATCAGGAGTCATTAAATCATGCCGACACCTTTCCTAAAGAGGCAGTGGTACCACCTAGTCTCAGAAAAGCTACATCTAGGATGACACCTGACACAGGAATACCATTAGCAGCCAAACTACATTAACTTCAACATGCAACAATGTTTGTTTATTTATTTATTCATCGAATTTATGTGGTTGTGCATCTCACGAAAAGCAACTCTGGGCAGCGTATAATAGCAGGTAAAATAGTGAACATATAAAAAACAATTATTAAAAAATTAAAAAATCACAAAGACTAAGAGAGAACAGCAGAAGTTAACAACAATGGAGCCACCTCAGTACTTTGCCGGTCCCCTGGGGCCCCGAGGCCTGATGACATAGCCAGATTTTAAGGGAT